ATGAAAATCTAAATTAAATGCATATGAGGCCTGCACCAGAGTGATTGTAATTGTGTGTATTTACTGAGTGTCAGTCCCATATCTGTACCTAGGATCTGTGACCTGCTATGTAGAGACACATGTCCTGTCCTGATGGTGTGTTCCTCATCATCCCTCAGGAGCAAATCTCATTCCCATGTTAGTGGCAGGAAAGCATCATCCAGTAGAAAGGGACCTGGACACCTGTCTCCAGGAGATTCTGAAACATCTCATCTGCTTTGAGACATGGGGGGAATGGAGTGAATCACCAAGCAGCAGGGACTTGTGGGTAAAATGCAGCCACCTGAGACTGTGAGACCCAAGAGTGAATCCCAGATGAGAGACTCCTAGTGCATGCCCTGTCTGTTCAGTCTACAGGGACATCAAATCTCAGCCAGGAATCTGCCACAAGAAAGGTGGCTGTCCTTTCTGTTTTCTGTCTTTTTCTGCTTCTCAGTGTTTCTCTCCCTCTTTCATCACTCTTTCCAATTTTTTTCTTTTCCTTCATTTAATCTTTCCCTTCTTTCCCTCTCTCTCTTCATGTTCTACTCTCGTTTGTTCCCTTATGATTTTGTCAGTTTTTGCCCATTTTTCTCCAGGGTTTGGCTCCCTCTATGTTTTTTGGCTCCCTCTATGTTATTTGGCTCCCTCTATGTTTTCTTTTCTTCTCTCTCTCGGTCATACCATTTCCTGTCTCACATGTTTCGGCTCCCTGGTTGGCCAGTGGCTGGAAGTTCTGACTCAGGCTCAGGCTGTGTGTCTACGCAGCTGTCTCGGACAGATCCCCAGCCAGATGAGCAGGTACCCAATGGCTCTCCATTTGCTCTTTATTGTTGGCCTGTCTCCCTTGGGTAAGTGAAATCTTTTAAATTAAGCAAAAGCACATGAATGAGTCTATGGATCTGTTCATTTTTAGAGACAGTAGAGATGGGACAGACCATCTTTCCCATTTCCCCCATCCCTAGCCCCTGTGGGGTGGTTTCCAGTGTTATATTCTCCAACACTTTTGACAGTGAGATTATAAAGTGAAGGCAGCAATAAGGCTTCGACCCCTTTCCATGCGGCGATCGCCCTCACCTTTGGGAATGTTTCCTGATCACAAGCCTGAAATTCCCCCACTTCTCCAATTTAATCCCATTAAACTCTCATCTCATTTTATTTCTGTTTCCTCACAGGAAGGGCCGTCCATCAGCCCCCATACATGGTGGTCAGTCAGGGACAGCCACTGACACTGAACTGCTCCCAAAAATCAACCAGTTACACCGGCATGTACTGGTACAAACAGGCTGTGGGGAAGGATGCAAGGCTGCAGCTGGTGTTGTTTTCTATAGAAAGCTTTGATGCAACTGTTGAGAAGCCATTTGAAGGTCACTTCCAGAGCAGTGGGACAAAAAACAATGTCCTGTCTCTGTCTGCAGAGAGAGCCCAGTTGCAAGACTCAGGCACATATTACTGTGCTAAGCAAGATCACACAGTGACTCAACTGCCAAAAGTGCTTAGCATAAACCTCCCTGCAAAGGGAAAGGACTTCCCTTCCCCCACACCCGTGTACAGCCCTGCCTCCTGCATAAGATGCACTCCATCTTGCTCTAACACCTCCCACCCCTGTTCCCATGTATCCTCCTCTCCCTTTCCTATCTTCTCTTCTGCCTCTCTTCTCCTCTTTTTCTGAACCTTTCCTTTTTCCTTCTCCTCTCCTACTAAGGCTATGTCTACGCTATAGCTTATGTCAGTGTAACTTATGTCTCTCAAGGGGCTGAGTAAATCACCTCCCTGAGCAACATAAGTTAAATTGCCGTAAATGCTGGCGTGGACAACTGCTTTCTGAGACTAGAGCAGTTAAGCTGACAGGAGAGCTCTCTCCTGGTGGGCTTAGAAAGGCTACATTAAAGAGTTTACAGTGGCACAGGTGCACCGGTGAAGCTGGGCCACTGTAGACTCTCTAGTGTAGCCGTGGATGACAAAGTTGGGGATTTTTGTAGTGTTTTACATGAACAGTGTGTGTGTTGTGCATGTTTAACAAAGTGGTGGGAGAGGGTTTGTTGTTGCAGAGGACCAGCTGTGACCTCGCATTGCAGCCAGGACCCACGGACGATGGCCTGGAGATGGGGTACCCTAAAAACTGGTGACCTGGTGACTAAGAGGCTCACCCCAGCTTGGCAGTCAGCTGGTTCTGGCCAATGGGAGCACAATGGGCTGAGGAGAGAGGATCCTGGTGACCTGACCAACCAGTTCGAGCAAGAGGGGAACAAACAATGAAAGAGAGAGGGCCCCAGAAACCGTTTACCTGGGACGGAAGACAAACAGGGGAGGAGCTGTTGGGGCCAGTAATATCGGATGCCCAGCCAGAAAGCGCAGGGTCCTTGGACTGGAGAGAGAGAGCAGGCAGAGCCCACCTGGATGAGGGGAGACTTAGATGTACTGTGCTGAGGGAGGCCAGCCCTGCGGGACCTGAGAGTTTCCTGTGCTGTGTTCAGATGCTCAATAAATCCTGAGAGTCATACCGGTCTAGAGAACAGGGTTGCATTGTTCCCTCTGGGAGTGGAGGCTCCAGGGGTCCAGAGTGAGTGGACTCCCTGAGGTGGCCCATGGTGAGAGACAGGCGTGCTAAGGCTCAGAGAGGTACAGTTCCAGGAGGTGGAGGGGCTTAACCCCAAAGAGAGAGTGGACCCCCAAGAAGAGATGTCACACTGAAGGGGGTTCCCCGCAGGGACTGTCTGGGGCCAAAAGTGGGCACAACATGTGAGTCCATAACCCCGTGCCCTAAATCTTTTTCTGTTCTTCCGGTCCTCACTCCTTCTCTCTCTTCACCCTCCCGGTGTTCTTTTCTCCTTCTTGTCTCTATCCCATACCCTCACTTTTCATTTCTTTTTCTTTCCCCCTTTACTCTCTTCTTCTCTCACACCTTCCCTTCTCCATTCTCCCTGTCACCTCATTTACTCCTCCCTCTCTTTCTCCTCCCTTCAATGGAATGAAATTGGGCAATGGGAACCATTTCAAGCTGGATGTAGGAGACATTTCCATTCCTCTGTGCTCTTCTGCCTTCTCCCCTTCCGTTCCCTCACCTCACTTCCCCTCTTTTATCCCATTCCTCACTTCCCTTCCTTATTTCTACACCTCTCCTCTCTTATTCACCAGAATCTCTCCCCCTTTACAAATTAAGGGCCTGGTCTCAAGGCTGTTTCCCGGTGACATCTGTGAACCCCAAAGTCAGTTTTTCCCTGAAGTACAACATTTCCAGCCCCAGGGACAGCACCACTGACTTCTGCCTTGTAGGTGGCCATAGTGCAGGAGACAACAGGGCCACAATATGACCCCTGGCCTGCCAGCCCGCTTGCTCAGAGACTCCTGCTTTCAATCCTCTCTCTCTTCATTATGGCCAATACTGAGCTGGGAACAAATATTTCAGATTAGAAAGCAGCATAATTTTCTAACAATGAGCTTGTTAGACTGTTGGATTGTGCCATTCCACCTTCAACAGCCAGCAGAGGTAGCTAGTACATGCCTTAGCAGCTCTGACATATTCCTCCCGGCAGGGAGCAGTGGTGTATAGACACACAAGCCAGGCCATGACCAGATGGGTTCTGCAGGGTTCAGTAATAAAAATAACCCCCCGTACTCTCTGCTGATACTGTTGGGCTTATGGGGATCAAGAATAGGACAGACGCTTTCACCCCGGGGCACAGGTTTGATTTCACACAGGCTGGGAGTTACTGACTCTGGGGGCTATTCAGGGCCTTGGTCAGATTCCATGTGCAAGGCCCTGGGGGCCGCGTGCCAGGGAACTCTGTGTTTTACTATAAATCCACCTCTGCTCCTGAGGTCTCTTCCAACCCTAATTTTCTGTGATTCCATGATTCTATGAAGTGCTCAGGTGACTTGGGGATGAATGTGCACAAACATCACGGCTGTGTACCACGTCTGAGAGAGCTGCCCAGACAGTGTTATTTCTGCTGTAACAGTAGGTCCATGTGAGCTCAGGAATGGTGTCTTTCCATTGGGGCACATGGTGCTGGAAAAACAATGACCAGTTACAGAGAATCAAAAACCCTGCAACCTTAGGCCACAGGTGTGTGGAGCAGCAGCTATAGTTGTGACAGGGTATGGGGTGTGGTTGGAGAATTCAAAGAGTCACCTTCACATAGCAATGCAGTATGTCATATTGCTGTGATCAGAGAGCTGACTGCTCCATCTAAGAGCAGGCCCTGGTCTGTGCTGTCAGGTGAAGGTAAAGTTGTAAGTGAAGGAACATATTTGTTAAGCACAGGTTTTTCTCGTGTTCATGTGGAGAACAACACAATTGGTTCCAGTCCAGTCTGGCAGACAGTAAAGCCATTCCTATCTGTTGACGTTTCAGTACCTGTGTGAAATGAATGGGCTGAACTCAGTGGCACAAAAAGTGATGACCACACACGTTTGTGTGTACAGTGGGAGTATCGAGAGGAGAGTGTTACTCTGAAGAGGAGAGAAAAAACTGAATCTAAGTATCTCACTGTTTGGTTCTAATGATGCCTCTTTTCTCCAGCTTTCAGTTCAATCACTGAATTGAAAAAAAAAAAAGACACAAAATGCACCTATCTTTCACCTTTCACCAAGGGTGGCCCTGAGGAAATATCCTTGATGGAAACATCCTACAGCTCTGAGTGGGTCAGTATCATGCAGCTCAGGCTGGAGATAAAGTAATATCCCACACACAGCTGCACAAGGGCCATATCTGCTGCTAATTACAATTTTCTCTCTGTTCAATAACTCCCTTCCAGCTCAACTGTTGTGCCATTTAATATCCTCATTCTGCCTAGCCCCCCTCAGTACAACATTCTCTCTCATTCTTTTTTCCTCCTTCTAGCCAGGTGGTTTTCTTTCTTCTCTCTCTCTCTCTCATATCATTTCCTGTCTCACATGTCTCTGCTCCCTGGTTGGCCAGTGGCTGGAAGTTCTGACTCAGGCTCATGCTGTGTGTGTCTATGCAGCTGTCTCGGAAAGATGGCCAGCCAGATGAGCAGGTACACAGTGGTTCCCCATTTGCTCTTTATTGTTGGCCTGTCTCCCTTGGGTAAGTGAAATCTTTTAAATTAAGCAAAATCACGTGAGTGAGTCTATGGATCTGTTCATTTTTAGAGACAGTAGAGATGGGACAGACCATCTTTCCCATTTCCCCCATCCCTAGCCCTTGTGGGGTGGTTTCCAGTGTTATATTCTCCAACACTTTCAACAGTGAGATTATAAAGTGAAGGCAGCAATAAGGCTTCCATCCCTTTCCATGTGGCAATTGCCCTCACCTTTGGGAATGTTTCCTGATCACAAGCTTGAAATTCCCCATTTCTCCAATTTAATCCCATTAAACCCTCATCTCATTTAATTTCTGTTTCCTCACAGGATGGGCTGTCCATCAGCCCCCATACATGGTGGTCAGTCAGGGACAGCCACTGACACTGAACTGCTCCCAAAAATCAACCAGTTTCAACTACATGTACTGGTACAAACAGGCTGTGGGGAAGGATGCAAGGCTGCAGCTGGTGCTGTTTTCTATAGAAGACTCTGGTGGAACAGTTGAGAAGCCATTTGAAAGTCACTTCCAGAGCAGTGGAACAAAAAACTATGTCCTGTCTCTGTCTGCAGAGAGAGCCCAGTTGCAAGACTCAGGCACATATTACTGTGCTAAGCAAGATCACACAGTGACTCAACTGCCAAAAGTGCTTAGCATAAACCTCCCTGCAAAGGGAAAGGACATCCCTTCCCCCACACCCGTGTACAGCCCTGCCTCCTGCATAAGATGCACTCCATCTTGCTCTAACACCTCCCACCCCTGTTTCCATGTATCCTCCTCTCCCTTCCGTAACTTCTCTTCTGCCTCTCTTCTCCTCTTTTTCCGAACCTTTCCTTTTTCCTTCTTCTCTCCTACTAAGGCTATGTCTACACTATAGCTTATGTCAGCGTAACTTATGTCTCTCAGGGGGCTGAGTAAATCACCTCCCTGAGCAACATAAGTTACACTGCCATCAGTGCCGGTGTGGACGACTGCTTTCTGAGACTAGAGCAGTTAAGCTGAAGAAGAGCTCTCTCCTGGTGGGCTAAGAGAGGCAACATTAGAGAGTTTAGAATGGCACAGGTGCATAGGTGCAGCTGGGCCACTGTAAACTCTCTAGTGTAGCCGTGGATGACGAAGTTGGGGATTTTTGTAGGGTTTTACAGGAATAGTGTGTGCGTGCCTCAGTTTCCCTGTGTGCTGCATGTTTAACAAAGTGGTGGGAGAGGGTTTGTTGTTGCAGAGGACCAGCTGTGAGCTTGCCTAGCATCCGGGACCCCGGACAACAGCCTGGAGATGGGGTAAACTAAAAACTGGTGACCTGGTGACTAAGAGGCTCACCCCAGTTTGGCCGTCAGCTGGTTTTGGCCAATGGGAGAACAATAGGCTGAGGAGAGAGGACCCTGGTGACCTGACCAAACAGTTCCAGCCAGAGGGGAACAAAGGATGAAAGAGAAGGGCCCCAGCGACCTGTTTACCTGGGATGGAAGACAAACAATAGGGGAGGAGCTGTTCGGGCCGGTGATATCAGATGCCTAGCTACAAAGCGCTGGGTCCCTGCACTGGAGAGACAGATCAGGGAGAGACTACCTGGATGCAGGGGAGACTTAGATGTACTGTGCTGAGGGAGGCCAGGCCTGAGGGACCTGAGAATTTCCTGTCCTGTGTTCAGATGCTCAGTAAATCCTCCTGTTTTATGCTGGCTGAGAATCGCAGCGGTCTAGAGAACAGGGTTGCACTGTTCCCTCTGGGAGTGGAGGCCCCAGAGGTCTAGAGCGAGTGAACTCCCTGAGGGGGCCCATGGTGAGAGACAGGCGTGCTAAGGCTCAGAGAGGTACGGTTCCAGGAGGTGGAGGAGCTAAACCGCAGAGAGAGAGTGGACCCCCGAGAAGGGCTGTCACACTGAAGTGGGTTCCCCCCAGGGACTGTCCAGGGCCAAGAGTGGGCACGACCTGTGAGTCCGTAACACTGTGCCCTAAATCTTTTCCCCTTCTTCCGGTCCTCACTACTTCTTCTCTCTCTTCACCCTCCCGGTGTTCTTTTTTCCTTATTGTCTCTATCCCATAAACTCACTTTTTATTACTTTCTCTCCCGCCCTTTTCTCTACTCTCACACCTTCCATTCCCCATTCTCCCTGTCCCCTCATTCACTCCTCCCTCTCTTTCTCCTCCCTTCAGTGGAATAAAATTGGGCAATGGGAGCCATTTCAAGCTGGATGTAGGAGACCTTTCCATCCCTCTGTGCTCTTCTGCCTTCTCCCCTCCATTCCCTCACCTCACTTCCCCTCTTTTATCCCATTCTTCACTTACCCTCCTAATTTCTACACCTCTCCTCTCTCATTCCCCAGAATCTCTCCTGCTTTACAAATTAAGGGCCTGGTCTCAAGGGCTTGGTCCTGCTTTGAGCAGGGGGTTGGACTAGATGACCTCCTGAGGTCCCTTCCAACCCTGATATTCTATGATTCTATGATTCTAAGGCTGTTTCCCCGTGACATCTGTGAACCCCAAAATTAGTTTTTCCCTGGAGTACAACAATTCCAGCCCCAGGGAAAGCACCACTGGCTTCTGCCTTGTAGGTGCCATAGTGCAGGAGACAACAGGGCCACAATATGACCCCTGGCCTGCCAGCCCGCTTGCTCAGAGACTCCTGCTTTCAATCCTCTCTCTCTTCATTATGGCCAATATTGAGCTGGGGACAAATATTTCAGATTAAAAAGCAGCATAATTGTCTAACAAAGAGCTTGTTAGACTGTTGGATTGTGCCATTCCACCTTCAACAGCCAGCAGAGGTAGCTAGTACATGCCTTAGCAGCTCTGACATATTCCTCCCGGCAGGGGGCAGTGGTGTATAGACACACAAGCCAGGCCATGACCAGATGGGTTCTGCAGGGTTCAGTAATAAAAATAACCCCCCGTACTCTCTGCTGATACTGTTGGGCCTATGGGGATCAAGAATAGGACAGGCGCTTTCACCCCGGGGCACAGGTTTGATTTCACACAGGCTGGGAGTTACTGACTCTGGGGGCTATTCAGGGCCTTGGTCAGATTCCATGTGTAAGGCCCTGGGGGCCGCGTGCCAGGGAACTCTGTGTTTTACTATAAATCCACCTCTGCTCCTGAGGTCTCTTCCAACCCTAATTTTCTGTGATTCCATGATTCTATGAAGTGCTCAGGTGACTTGGGGATGAATGTGCACAAACATCACGGCTGTGTACCACGTCTGAGAGAGCTGCCCAGACAGTGTTATTTCTGCTGTAACAGTAGGTCCATGTGAGCTCAGGAATGGTGTCTTTCCATTGGGGCACATGGTGCTGGAAAAACAATGACCAGTTACAGAGAATCAAAAACCCTGCAACCTTAGGCCACAGGTGTGTGGAGCAGCAGCTATAGTTGTGACAGGGTATGGGGTGTGGTTGGAGAATTCAAAGAGTCACCTTCACATAGCAATGCAGTATGTCATATTGCTGTGATCAGAGAGCTGACTGCTCCATCTAAGAGCAGGCCCTGGTCTGTGCTGTCAGGTGAAGGTAAAGTTGTAAGTGAAGGAACATATTTGTTAAGCACAGGTTTTTCTCGTGTTCATGTGGAGAACAACACAATTGGTTCCAGTCCAGTCTGGCAGACAGTAAAGCCATTCCTATCTGTTGACGTTTCAGTACCTGTGTGAAATGAATGGGCTGAACTCAGTGGCACAAAAAGTGATGACCACACACGTTTGTGTGTACAGTGGGAGTATCGAGAGGAGAGTGTTACTCTGAAGAGGAGAGAAAAAACTGAATCTAAGTATCTCACTGTTTGGTTCTAATGATGCCTCTTTTCTCCAGCTTTCAGTTCAATCACTGAATTGAAAAAAAAAAAAGAGACACAAAATGCACCTATCTTTCACCTTTCACCAAGGGTGGCCCTGAGGAAATATCCTTGATGGAAACATCCTACAGCTCTGAGTGGGTCAGTATCATGCAGCTCAGGCTGGAGATAAAGTAATATCCCACACACAGCTGCACAAGGGCCATATCTCATGCTAAGTACAATTCTCTCACTGTTCAAAAGCTCCCTTTCAGCTCAACTGTTGTGCCATTTAATATCCTCATTCTGCCTTGCCCCCCTCAGTACAACATTCTCTCATTCTTTTTTCCTCCTTCTAGCCAGGTGTTTTTTTCTTCTTCTCTCTCTCTCTCTCTCTCTCTCTGTCATACCATTTCCTGTCTCACATGTCTCTGCTCCCTGGTTGGCCAGTGGCTGGAAGTTCTGACTCAGGCTCAGGCTGTGTGTCTACGCAGCTGTCTCGGACAGATCCCCAGCCAGATGAGCAGGTACCCAATGGCTCTCCATTTGCTCTTTATTGTTGGCCTGTCTCCCTTGGGTAAGTGAAATCTTTTAAATTAAGCAAAAGCACATGAATGAGTCTATGGATCTGTTCATTTTTAGAGACAGTAGAGATGGGACAGACCATCTTTCCCATTTCCCCCATCCCTAGCCCTTGTGGGGTGGTTTCCAGTGTTATATTCTCCAACACTTTCGACAGTGAGATTATAAAATGAAGGCAGCAATAAGGCTTCCATCCCTTTCCATGCGGCGATCGCCCTCACCTTTGGGAATGTTTCCTGATCACGAGCCTGAAATTCCCCCATTTCTCCAATTTAATCCCATTAAACCCTCATCTCATTTAATTTCTGTTTCCTCACAGGATGGGCCGTCCATCAGCCCCCATACATGGTGGTCAGTCAGGGACAGCCACTGACACTGAACTGCTCCCAAAAATCAACCAGTTACACCAACATGTACTGGTACAAACAGACCGTGGGGAAGGACGCAAGGCTACAGCTGGTGTTGTTTTCTATGGAAGGCTTTGGTGGAACTGTTGAGAAGCCATTTGAAGGTCACTTCAAGAGCAATGGGACAAAAAACAATGTCCTGTCTCTGTCTGCAGAGAGAGCCCAGTTGCAAGACTCAGGCACATATTACTGTGCTAAGCAAGATCACACAGTGACTCAACTGCCAAAAGTGCTTAGCATAAACCTCCCTGCAAAGGGAAAGGACTTCCCTTCCCCCACACCCGTGTACAGCCCTGCCTCCTGCATAAGATGCACTCCATCTTGCTCTAACACCTCCCACCCCTGTTCCCATGTATCCTCCTCTCCCTTCCGTAACTTCTCTTCTGCCTCTCTTCTCCTCTTTTTCCGAACCTTTCCTTTTTCCTTCTTCTCTCCTACTAAGGCTATGTCTACACTATAGCTTATGTCAGCGTAACTTATGTCTCTCAGGGGGCTGAGTAAATCACCTCCCTGAGCAACATAAGTTACACTGCCATCAGTGCCGGTGTGGACGACTGCTTTCTGAGACTAGAGCAGTTAAGCTGAAGGAAGAGCTCTCTCCTGGTGGGCTTAGAGAGGCTACATTAGAGACCTTACAGTGGAACAGATGAATCTGTGCAACTGTGCTGCTGAAAGCTCTGTAGTGTAGCTGTGTGTGACAAAGTTGTGGATCTTTGTAGTGTTTTACATAAATAGCATGTGCGTGCCTCAGTTTCCCTGCGTGCTGCATGTTTTACAAAGTGGTGGGAGAGGGTTTGTTGTTGCAGAGGACCAGCTGTGACCTCGCCTAGCAGCCGAGACCCACAGACAATGGCCTGGAGATGGGGTAAACTAGAAACTGGTGACCTGGTGACTAAGAGGTCCTCTCCAGCTTGGCCATCAGCTGGTTCTGGCCAGTGGGAGGAAAATGGGCTGAGGAGAGAGAACCCCGGTGACCTGACCAACCAGTTCCAGCCAGAGGATAACAAAGGACTGATTGGAGAGGGCCCGAGCCATCTGTTTACCTGGGACGGAAGACAAAGGAGAGGGGAGGAGCTGTTGGGGGGAGTATGATCAGCTGGAAAGAGCAGGGTCCCCGGAATGGAGAGAGAGGGAGCAGGAAGAGCCCACCTGGATGCAGGGGAGACTTAGATGTACTGTGCTGAGGGAGGCCAGGCCTGAGGGAACTGAGAATTTCTGTGCTGTGTTCAGATGTTCAATAAACCGTCCTGTTTTACGCTGGCTAGAGTTGCTCTGGTTTAGAGAACAGGGTTCCATTATTCCCTCAGGGAGTGGAGAGCCCGGGGGTCTAGAGCGAGCGAACTCCCTGAGGGGGCACATGGCGAGAGAGAGGCATGCTAAGGCTCAGAGAGGTGCGGTTTCAGGAGGTGGAGGGGCTTAACCCCCAAGGGAGAGTGCACCCCCTAGAAGGGCTCTCACAATGAAGGGGGTTCCCCCCAGGGACCGTATGGGGCCAAGAGTGGGAACAACCTGTGAGTCCGTGACACCGTGCCCTAAATCTTCTTTTGTTCTTCTGGTCCTCTCTCCTTCTCTCTCTTCACCCTCCCGGTGTTCTTTTCTCCTTCTTGTCTCTATCCCATAACCTCACTTTTCATTTCTTTCTCTTTCTCCCTTTTTCACTCCTCTTCTCTCACACCTTCCCTTCCCCATTCTCCCTGTCCCCTCATTCCTCCTCCCTCTCTTTCTCCTCCCTTCAGTGGAATAAAATTGGGCAATGGGAGCCATTTCAAGCTGGATGTAGGAGACCTTTCCATCCCTCTGTGCTCTTCTGCCTTCTCCCCTCCATTCCCTCACCTCACTTCCCCTCTTTTATCCCATTCCTCACTTCCCCTCCTGATTTCTACACCTCTCCTCTCTCATTCCCCAGAATCTCTCCCCCTTTACAAATTAAGGGCCTGGTCTCAAGGCTGTTTCCCGGCAACATCTGTGAACCCCAAAGTTAATTTTTCCCTGGAGTACAACAATCCCAGCCCCAGGGACAGCACCACTGACTTCTGCCTTGCAGTGAGCCATAGTGCAGGAGACAACAGGGCCACAATATGACCCCTGGCCTGCCAGCCCGCTTTGTCAGAGACTCCTCCTTTCAATCCTCTCTCTCTTCATTATGGCCAATACTGAGCTGGGGACATGTATTTCAGATTAGAAAGCAGCATAATTTTCTAACTATGACTTGTTAGACTGTTGGATTGTGCCACTCCACCATTAACAGCCAGCAGAGGAAGCTAGTACATGCTTTAGCAGCTCTGACATACTCCTCCCAGCAGGGGGCAGTGGTGTATAGACTCAAAAGCCAGGCCATGACCAGATGGATTCTGCAGGGTTCAGTGACAACAATAACCCCCCGTACTCTCTGCTGATACTGTACAGCTTATGGGAACCAAGAATAGGACATGCAGCCTTTCACCCCAGTTTATAGGACTGATTTCACCCAGGCTGGGAGTTACTGACTCTGAGGCTATTCTGGACTTTGGTCATATCCCATGTGTTGGTTTCTGAGTGCAGTGCAATGAATCACTCTCTAAAAAATTGTGTTATTTCTGATCCAGGCTTGGTGATGG